TGCAAATTCCACAGTGTTTTCCCAAGAAGAAATGTAACTTTGTACAACTAATTCTTTATCTGCCTCCATGAATAATGACTTCAAGTAAATAAGATATTCAAAGTGTTCCAACTACAGAAATAAACTTTACTTTTACACACACGCGCACACACACACACACACACACACACACACAAGATGCATATGTATGAGGTAGCAAAGCGGAGTAGATGGTCCAATAAATTGGAAGAATATCTATCGCCAAATTATGGCCCTAAACTGTGCACCATATCTGAATACTGACATTAGACAGATTACATGTTTGAGGCTCCCCTGGTACAAACTAATTACCCAGTTTTACTACTGGTCTTATAACTGTCCACAGTTTTAATATTATCTTTTCCCAATACATTTATTACAGATCCTAAAAGATTTTGACTTACAGCAGTTATTTCTATTATATAATAATCTGAGCAAGTGGCATTATCTTCGTTTCTCTCTTAAATTGTATACAAACAAAAAGAGCATATGGTGCTCTGATAGTGTACAAACGTATATGTTCATTTGCAGTTTTGCAATCAAAGAGCCCCAAAATTATCTTGTAATTTTGGCTCATGACAGAGAAACTCTTAGCAAAGTGTTTAAGAGTCCAGTGTTGGGGTCAGTCCCATGGCTCAGAGGCTAAGGGAGCCAGATTCCATATAATCAACAGTGGATTATATCTTGGTCTCAGGACAAGTAGATGATGTAATGGTTACATTGCTAGACTCCCACTCAGTCGATCAAGGTTCAAGTCTCAGACGTGGAGGCTTGAAAATCATGTCAGGCGCTTGAGCGTGCGTTTCCAGAATCCTGAGAAGAGAATGGAGGAGAAGGGATTGAGGGAGAAGGGATTGAGGAATTGCCATCCCCCTGGGGTGTGATTTCTCATTTTCTATCTCTGTCTCTCGCCGTGTCTCTGACAAATGCTCATGCAGTACAGCAAAAATATCTCTCAATAAATAAATAAATAGAAACCTGGTCTCAGTGACTAGATAAACACCTTGGGCATGTGTATATCTGTGCTTAAAATCCCAAAGAGAAGGAAAAATGGAAGAAAAGAGATTGTGGCATGATAACCCCACGCTAGTGTGTACTTGCTCTCTCTCTCCCTCTCTTTCTGGCAGTAAGAGAAAAAAATAAACAACAACAAATCAATGTTAAACTATTGAAAAGAAAATAAATTTTCCTGTTGATCCAGGTGGAAGATTTGTGCATGTTCAAAAAGCACAAACACAAGTTGACTCCATGGCCTGTTCATTAAGACAGCTGAGTCCCACATGACTGACCTTGCAGTTCAAGTTCTGGAGCCAGTAGCTTTAGAAACACTCCAAGCATGCATGTGTGCGTGCTCAAAATCCTGAAGGGAGAAATAGAGAAAGGATTATGGCATGACCATTCTTTTTTTTTTTTTTTTCTTTTTTTGAGAGGTTTTTCACTATAGGGCACGTGCGCTCGCCAGACAGAGACAGAGAGACAGAAAGCGAGAAATCACTCCCCAGAGGGGATGGCCATGCCGCAATCCCTTCTCCTCCATTCTCCACTCGGGATCTTGGGCACGCACGCACACGTGCCCGGAGTGGGTTTTAAGCCACTGGGTCCGGGACACAAACCGCAGTCGACTACATGGGGGTCCAGCGACATAGCCATTATGCTAACTGCTGGTTCCCCGTATGACCATTTTTCATTGGGGGTGCTTTTTGTTCTGTCTCTGCCTTTCTCTAGCAAGCTCACAACCCTCTAACAATAACAAAAAACACAAGCATGTATAAACAAGCACACTCAGACCAAGGTAGTAGTTTTTTACTACTTAAAAAAATTTTAACAATAAAATAAAAACATTCCACTAAGTGTTATAAGTTTTTAAAAAGTGTTCTACATTTAAGAAGCTCAGAATCTAAAGGAAATAAGACATATAAGTAACCATATCGAGAAGTGGAAAATGGGTCAGCCAGAGAACCAGCAGTTAGCGCAATGGCTATGTCGCTGGATTCCCACGTAGTTGACCGCAGTTCGCGTCCTGGACCCGGTGGCTTAAAACCCACGCTGGGCGCATGTGTGTGCGTGCCCAAGATCCCGAGAGGAGAATGGAGGAGAAGGGATTGCGGCGTGGCCATCCCCCCTGGGGGGTGATTTCTCGCTTTCTGTTTCTCTGTCTGTCTCTGTCTGGCGAGCGCACGTGCCCTATAGTGAAAAACCTCTCAAAAAAAAAGAAAGAAAGAAAGAAAATGGGTCAGCCAGTGGTACAATGGTTAAGGCAGCTGGATTCCATGTGGCCAGCTATGTGGTTAAAGTCCTAGACCCAGAGGGTTGTAAAACACACTGGGTACATATGCACACATACCCAAAATCCCAAGAAGAGAATAGAAGAGAAAATTATAGTGTGACTGTCCCCCCTGGGAAATGCTTTTGCACTTTCCCTCTCTCTCTTTCTCTCTGCCTTTCTCCACCAAGTGCACAAGCCCTATTACAAACTAAAAAGAATAATAATAATAATAAAAGTAGAAAGTATTAAGGAAATTAAGATAAGCATAAATAAAAGGATAACAGTTCAAAATATTGCAAAAACTTTCAATTGAAATAGAGGTTGGATAAGTCTTTGGTAAGGAAACAACATTTTGGTGACTTAAAAATTAATTTTTACATGAAGGAATGGAATTGGTAATAGAAGACGCAAATTTGGAGAATAGCATTTTTCTTAATCTGATGCGTGGAATGTATCAGGCCTATGGGAAAGTAATTGTGTAAGAAAACATGTCTGCACACAAAATAATTTAGAAATAGTTCTTGAGAAATAACTGTTGCGCCTAATAAGTTTTTTTTTTTTTTTCATTTTGTGTCCATCTGTATATTTCAGTCTTACATTTCTCTCACAGTGATTTCAGTCTTACATTTCTCTAACAGGGATGGGTAATTCCAGAACTAAATGCAGACTTGTTCTCATTTGCGTATGATATGGTGTTACCTGTAATGAATGGCTAATGTCACTCAGGTTCGAGCCCCACAGGAGATTATATAGACCTGTCTTGGAGAACTGCAGCATTTTCCTAGGAGATCGTTCAGGCACATGGAGGATGATGATGTTGGTATCGGGCAATTGCATCTCTCCCTTGAAACTATACAGTCTGCACACAATGTTAGTTTCCATAGCTTGGGTCTGGCCTCAACCAGAAGTTTTGCAAATATGAATCTGGATTTTTGAAAATCTGTCTTTAAAATTTCTTGATGATAGATATTTCAAACTTCTGGAAAAAAGTTGATGACACAGGACCACCGTACTTGTTTTGTAGGATGGAGAATTTCTATAAATTATGTTTTTGCATCTAAAAAACAGGGGGGATTGTCCTATTTGACTCATAATTCTGTATTTAATTGACTTGTAATGGCAGCTCTTCAGACTTTGGACTCCATTCCAAAAAGAATAAATTACTATGCTTGTTTTTTGTTTTGTTCTGTTTTTCTTTCTTTTTTTCTCCCTTTCTCTTTCTTTCTTTCTTTCTTTCTTTCTTTCTTTCTTTCTTTCTTTCTTTCTCTCCTTCTTTCTTTTTCTTTTCTCTCTTTCCTTCTTTCTTTCTTCTTTTTCTTTCTTTCATCTGTCTCCTAAGTAGATCTAATCCTTTACCTGTTTTATCTGTGCAGTCTAGAAAATTGTCAGTCATTCTATGGGTACTCAGTGTGAACTTATAGTAGCTTAAGGCAACCTGTCTGAGGAAGAAATGCAGTCAATTTCTGTGGACTTACGTGTCTACTACCACTCAGAGCTAATATATCCAAAACACAGAGATGGCCAGTCTTATAGAACCACAAGGGGATAAAGTTAGTTGGCCAATAGTCTTTGATTGTGGTTACATTTACGAAGTGTGGGATTGTATACAAGCAGAGCACTAGCGGGAAATACTTAACACCATAAAAATCAGAGAAAAGATGTTTAAGTTGGTAGATAATATCCCCTGAGTGAGTTATGGTTTTGAACCTCTCTGGATGAAGTTGCTAAAGCTTCACATTTCTACCTGCAGTTACCACAGCAATTGTTAAAGCTTCTGTGTTAAGCAATCCAGGTCTCACTATGGTGGCAACTTTGCAATGTGCTTTATACAGTAAGAAGATCTTGGGCAAAATCACTTGACTGATATAAAGTTCAGGATTCTCAAACAGAAGATTCCAGATGTGAACCTTCCACACAACCCAAAGAGAGAAGTTGTTTCACAGTGCATTTTGAGCTGGTCCTCCAGTTGTTCCTGGAATTCTAACCAACTGGCATGGCTATACTGCACACAGCTGGTAGAAAGGCAGAAAAGGGAGACGGTGCTAGAAGTGCACTCAGCCTCTATGACAGGGGCCCCAGTTCTTTATTTCATTTTCTGGAAGAAAAAAGTACTATTATTTAACATGAAACTACTTTCACTGACAAAAAGAACAAGCTTTTTTTTTTTTTTTTTGGTAATGTTTAAGTGGAAAGTAATAACAGAAAACAATAAAGAAATTTTTTAAAGAGTTTTTTAAAATTTAACTTATTTAAATTTGACTGGAGACAGACAGAGAGAGAGAGAGAGAGAGAAAGAGAGAGAGAGTGAGAGAGCGAGAGCAAGCAAGCCATCTTGTCCAGGACTTGAACCATGGTTGATCATGTGGGCGTCCAAAGCCCTTAAACATCATGTCACCTTCTCACCCCCAAGAAATTTTAATTCAAAATAATTGTTGAGTCCCTCTGCCTCTCTTACTTACTTTAAAGCTTCAAAATAATTGTTCAGTCCCTCTGCCTCTCTTACTTACTTTAAAGCTTCAAAATAATTGTTGAGTCCCTCTGCCTCTCTTACTTACTTTAAAGCTCCGGGGCTCTCCTCAGAGTGTCATTTCCTTGAAAAATAAGGAATACAAATAAATGTGTGGTTAATTTCAGAATTTGAAAAATAAGAATTTTTGAAGAGTCGTTAGAATTCTTCTTCAGAATCCTACAAACAGTAGGACTAAAACAGACTAATTTGCATATTCTGTATAATTTTAACTGCACAAAGCTTGAGGACCCTTGGCAGAGAAAGTTCCGGCTCGAAAGGACCTCCCCCTTGAGCTTGCTGGGCTCCTTCCCCAACGCGCCAGGTTACCCTGTGGGCTTACTACTTGGCTAACAGAGATCATTTGCAAGCAGATTTCTTGGTCTTAGCCTGGTGGCACACCACAGCCCGATTGTTACGTTTCCTCTCCTACTGGCCCCGGGCTGAAAGTCCCTAGGCTGAGAAATACATCCTGAGACTTCTAGACAGCCGAACTTCCAACTTCCGGTTTATGAATAGACTATCCAACACCAGCTTCTTGCTTCTGGTTTAAGAGCTAATACTTAAGAAACAAAATGATAAAGGATGAACAGGTAGGAAAAACGATTAATGGTCTGTTGTTAAAGTGAAAGAATTGTTAACCTGAATTTAGATTATGATCATGAGAATTGGATGGGAGACACTGAGCAGTGAGAAATTGCCAGTTCAAGACAGGGTTTGCCATACCTGTGGAATAGCGGGAGGCAGTTCCATATCTTGGGAGATAAACTGATTAGGAAATTAAAGTGCTAGCCTACCAAAAATAAAAATCTGGAAGGAGAATCAGACAGGAAGAGAAAAATCATCCCAGAGTTTTAGATGTGCTTGATTGGTCAGTAGGGAATCATACAATTATTATTCAAAAAGTTGGGGTTAGGATTCAGTAAGGAGTCCTAGCTAGAGGTCTAAATTTAGGATTTTGTTCAGAAAAATGGTTATAGGAGGAGTCACAATGTAATGCCAAAAGACTGTAAATAAGAAAAAGAAAAGGTGGAATAGAAGGAGAAAAAAGAAGTTTAAGAAGGTCATTTATCTTCTTAAGTGACTGTAAAGTTCATAGATAAAATTCAGGTAGAACCATGCTTAAACTATCTCCCTAATATACCTGTTTCATCATCAGTTCTGTTTATATATGCAAATTTTAAAATAATTATTTGGTACTGTATCACATCAAAATTATTTTCAATATTTGTATCTTTGAAGCATGGTCATAGCATTTTCATATATGTGACAATTCACCACCTGAGTTTTTAGAAGAGAATGTGTTTCTGCCCTGAAACAAAAAGTGATAAAGTCATATCAAATAAGATTTGTCAACTTTGCATATATTTGAGGCAAGGGGATATGGCTAAAATATATCCATATTTCCATAACTGTATTCTACAATCAACAGTGCTGTATCATAAACTTGTAGTAAAGCTATTTTTGCAAACACTTGCAATAAAATTGCTAAACAAAACATGTTTAGTCTGTGAAAGAGAAAAGGGAATTGCGACATATGTTGTTAGCAAATGGATCTCTGCTGACATTTAGGGTATGTAAAGATATGTCTTTCTAAGAAAATAATTGACTCACACTACAATAATAAGAGTTACTACCTTTTTAATGAACCTAATATGTAACAATCTACCCATGACCTTTAAAATAGCATATTTGCCCTTTATGATATTATTCTAAGACTAAGGAGAAAAAAATGAATAGTAAAGATACTGTCTTAACATGAAACAAAAATACTGTTCAAGTAGTTTGTCATCATTTTTATGACTGATATGTTCAGGCAGTAGCATGCTACATGGAAGTTTATATTTTCAGGATATTATAATCCGATTGCAAATTAGATAATAAAATTTTACTTTCTTTTAACACAGATTGTAGAGGATGATGGGCTTGTGTCTGCCATGTTCAATATAGTATTTTTCTCTGGATTATAGGCCCTCCTTCTACACTGAGGCCCTGAATGACTGATGTATGTATAGTGTCTGTGGTTTTAAAATCTAAAGGTAGATAGCATCACTGGCTACTTATTAGAACTAGCCTGTGATCTAGGAGTTGCCTTGTGTTTTAATATCTCTAATTTTCTCCATTCCATTTACATCATGCTATTCTAAAGCATGAGCATCTCCCTTGTGGAATATGGTTCTCTCCTTTGCTGGATTATTTTGATTACTTTGCTGTATGCCTTAACAAGAATTTTTTTTTAATTTGTATGTATAGTATATACTTTGTTGACCAAATGCACAAAAATTTTGAAATGCTTGGAGATAATTTTGGATTGTTCACTTCTGTTTTGTTCCTTTTTAAAAAAATAATTTTAAATTGTTGAGCAAACCAGTGGTGTAGTGGTGAAGTGGCTGGATCCCACATAGCTGACTGTGTGGTTCAAGTCCTAGACCCAGCAAATTGAAAAACTTACTCTGTGTGTGTGTGTTTGTATAGCCAAAATACTTAAAGGAGGGAAAAATGAAGAAGGGATTTCAGCATGACCATTCTCCATAGTGAATACTTTCTCTCTCTCTCTCTTGCTCTCTCTCTGATGAGCATATGTGACCTCTGGCAATATCTAAAAACAAAACGTAATTTAATCTGTCAAAATCTGAAAGAATATTAATATCTCACATTGTGATTATGGGTCATAAACTTGTGCTTATTTTCTAAGAGTTTTTGATTTATGCATTTTGCTGCTGCGAATTTTGGTAATTTTTGACCTCTTGACCATTCTTGAGCCATGAATGTTAAAGTCTTCTGTCATTTGGAATTTTGGCTTCTTGCACCTTCTGTGTTTTTGTTTTAAATAGCTGTTCATTATCTTACTTTTTCATATTATGTAGAAAATTGTGGCATTCAGCATGAAAAGTGGCCTTAATTGGGTAGTTTTATGGCCCATATTCACCTATGTTTTATATCAGTATTGCAAATCATGGCTTTGTATTGTATTTGCTTAGCATACTTTGTTTATCCTTTGACGTTAGTCTTTATGAATCACTTTATTTTATATATGTTTATTTATACTATTTGGAATGTGAGTTATACCCATGTATACTTATTGATATTACTGGTATGTTAGGCTGCAACTCTGTAACCTATGGGATATTTACTTTATGCATTAGAGAATATTTATTTCTGCAGTTTTGCAGATTTTTTAAAAATTTATTTTGTACTAAACAACTTTGGTACTTTCATTTGAGTAGTTTCCTTTTACTGATATCGTCAGTAATGCAATTAGTCTCAATTTCTTACTTTTGTCTTTGATGTTTGTTCTGTCTGTTCTATTCATAGCTATTACCTAAATAGTGTTGATGCAGTTGAACTTATTCTACTGCTGCCTTTCTATCTCCTCTCATTTTCAGTTAGCTATGTTTTTCATTGCCAAAACATAACAGTTGGGACCAGCAGTTAGTGTAATGACTATGTCGCTGGACTGCCATGTAGTCGACCACAGTTCGCGTCCCGGATCTTGTGGCTTAAACCTCACGCCAGGCGCGTGTGCGTGCATGCCCAAGATCCCAAGAGGATAATGGAGGAGAAGGGATTGTGGTGTGGCCATCCCCCCTGGGGGGTGATTTCTCACTTTCTGTCTCTCTGTCTCTCTCTGTCTGTCTGGCTAGTGAACGTGCCCTATAGTAAAAACCTCTCCAAAAAAATAAATAAATAACAGTTATATAATATTCTTATATCATCATTTTCCATACTCCTCTTTAAAAGTTAGCTCTAAATTAAATATATAAAGCAACCAAAAGTGATCTTTTGCTAAAGTTTTCTCATTAACTTCTGAGTAACTTGGTCAAGGATGATTAACTTCATATATAAACTTAAAAGGTAAAAAAAAAAAAAATTAAAAGCCTCAAGTCACACAAGTTATTTATCTTTTTACATTTACTAAGTCATTAATAATGAAAAGAAAATAAGATGGGATTAGACGTCCCAGCAATATCAAAGTGTCAAGATAATAACAGAGCAATATTTTTCAAGAAAAGGAAAGAAAATGTGGGCAAAGATTCTTATTACTAGTAAGATGTTTCCGATCATGATGGGAAAAAAAAAGAGATCAAATTTACCTTTCTCCTTAAACAACTGGAAAACTAGATTAAATATAGAAACAACAGTGTTCAGACACTGAAAAGCAGGCAGAACAGGACAATGGTTTATACACAAGGGAAACAGATGAGGGGATTGATATAGCCAGCTGCCTAGTTTCTAGGTTTCCATGCAAAAAGAGTGAACCCAAAGACACAAGTGGCCTCTGAGTAAAGACATCGTTGGAAATTTTGAGATTCTACGGTAGCTACAATCCTCAGGCAGAGTATCAAAGAGAGAAACACAATTGTAGAGAAAAAGAGAGAGTGAGATCTACAAAGAGATAAATTCATGTCTTCAGCTAGACATTTATCATGTGAATAACCTACTCAAGAGTAGTGAAGATTTACTAAAAAGGAAGAGGTAAAACAGTATCTGAAATGCAAACAAAGCCAGGAATAATTTATGTTTTCATCCACAGAATGAATGTAATTATGTTATCAGATGTAGTAGATAGCAGAGTATTATTGCTTTTTTTTTTTAAAGAGATTTTTTGCTATAGGGTGTGTTCACTCACCAGAGAAACAGAGCAGAAAGCAAGAAATCACCCCCCCCCAGAGGTGGGTGGGGGACAGAGACGACCATGCTATCATCCCTTCTCTTCCATTCTTCTCTCAGGATTTTGGGCATGCACACACAAGTGTCCAGCATGAATTTCAAGCTGCCAGGTCTGGGACTCGAATCACAGTCAAGTACATGGGAACCCAGATACAGAAACATAGACCGTCTGCTGGTCCCAGAGTATCAGTGCTTTGATAGTGAGGTAAAATTAGCCCTGGACTTTAGGTTTCTCCAAAACTAGTGTTCCAATAATAATAACAATAATTTTTTAAAAAGCTGACGAAGATGTTAGGGAAGCAAAGGTGTTAATACGTGACTGTACAATGCTGAAACTCTATGGGATGTCCAGAGTTCGAATCCTAGGTGGAATTGAACATACTGGGCATTCCAAATTATGGCTAGACACTGTCAAGGTTTTCTGTTTCACTCTCTTGAAATAAATAGATACACTTTAAAAAAAAATTACAGGTCACTATCCCTAAAGCATATAAATATAGAAATAAAACATTAGCAAACCAAATCCAATAATATAGAAAAATAATCATGTAGCTACTTAATACATACTTCTACTTGGTTTAAATTTCAAGATCAGTCAGTATAAACCATCACATGAGAATAATAAAATTGAAAAAATCTCTATCATCTTAATAGATGAAGAAAGAGTATTTGACAAAATCTGACATTCGTTTCTGATGGAAACTCTTATCATTCCAGAAATAGAAGGAAACATCCTCAGTGTAACATGCTACCTCAGTGAGAAACAGCTTTTCTCCTTCCTTGATGCTGAAATTGTGAATGCTTTCTCTTTAACATCAGAAAAAATTCATAGAAGTTTGTTTTCATCACTTCTTTTTTGTTTGTCTTGTTTTGTTTTTAAGTCTATTTGTTTCTTTCTTCAGAGAGAGAGAGAGTCACGCCCTTCACACCATAATCCACATTAAGTCTCACCTAGTCTGGCTCACAGACATGCACATGGGTAAGCACCCAGCATGCTCAGGGAATGTCAAGAGGCAAATCCAGGCTTTTCCCATGTGAGTCAGTTACATTACTACTGCAGCATCACTAGCCCCAGCTTTCATTACTTCTATTTAATCATTTATTGGTGCTCCTTGACAGTGCAACAAGGCAGCGACAACAAACGTTCAATACTTAGGAACTAGGAAAGAAGTATTATAACTGTATTTGGTTTTAGATGCCATAATTGTTAAATTTATCAAGGTTACAGAATTCAGCATGTCGATATTTTAAAAATCAATTGTATTTCTATATACTGGCAGTAATACATGAAGTTTACAAAAAGCATCTGTAATAATAGCAAAAATATTAAAATGTTAGGAATAAATTTTGTAAGAAAGGGAAGGCATCAACATGTCTGTAAAATAAATATTTATATATTATGCAGAGATATTAAAGATGATCTGAATAAAGAAAGTAAATAACATGTTCATGAAAATTTATTTGTGGAGTCAAATTATATATTTGCACTTCTAGCAAATCCCCAAATTCTAAATAGCTTTTTCAAAAAGAGAAATCAGCAACTTAATTTTAATTTATTTGCAGAACCAACAAATTTTTAGTAAAATATCTAACTCACCTTCTTGTCAATATAATTGATTATAACATTGCCATAGAAATACAAAGTATCTAAATGCCAAGAAAATAAAAAAGATGAGCAAAGTTAGAGAACATATATTATTTTAAGATTTACAACAGAGAACAATCCAGACAATGTGGTGTTGATATAGGAATAGATAATGGATAATTATACCAGGGAGAGAGTTTTAGATGTATAACCACATATACATATACAACAAATTTATTTTCACCAAAATACCATATATAGACATTCTACAAGTGCTATATGCTACAAGTGCCTGAGTGGAGAGAGCAACAGAAAGAAAAACAAACAAACAAAAGCAACCTCATCCTTTTCCTCACACCACAAACATAAATTAATTTGAGATGATCCATTGTCCTAAAACTATAAAGCCACTAAAAGACAATGTAGCAGAATATTTTTAATAGCTTTAATTAGACACTGGTTTAAGACACAGAAAAGCACTTCCATAAATAATTAATAAACTAGAATGTGTCAGCATTGAATACTACTCATAAAAACCCACTGTTCTCCTTTAATAAATCCTCAGTCTGTTGAAGTCAGTTAATTTTCTTTGATATTTCTTTGTTTTATTATGTTTTTTAAAGTGATACTATTTTAAAGTTTATTTTTAATAATATTTGCACTTTTAGAATTTCACTAGGTAACAAATAAAATATTCGTCTTTAAGTGGTATAATATAAGCCTGTTAGATCGTTTGATATATCTAAAATACACTATCAGATCTTAGTGAACATTTCAATATCTTGAAACGTTTAATTATTTTATCTCTCAGGGATCATTTCATCATTACAGATAAATTATTTCTCAGTTGTGCTAAAAGTAAATTCAAATAATTAGAAATAGAGGAGTGATAGATTCACCTGCCTAGATGATGAAATATTGAAATAGAGCACCATTAAGACACTATCCTTCAGTCTAGACATTGTGCAGCTCAAAGTATTGCATTATCAAGTAGGTAAAGAAGAATGCTAAAGACATTATCTCCATATGTTTTTATACTTTATACTTTTTAATTGACATAATAGTTGGACATATTTATGGGATACAGTGTGAATTTTCAATATATGCAGCAATGTGAAAAGCTACCAGTGTGCATCAAGTCAGAGCAATAAATATATCCATAATCTAACATTTATGCCATGTTGTGTAGTGAATCTTTGCGATTCTTTCTGTTAGCTGATTTGTGTTAAGGGGTTTTCCAAAAGTTCTTGGAAAAAGCACATTATTAAAAATTTCATGGATTTCAAAATTTTTTCTGTACCAAAATAAGTTTGTACTTTAATTCTATTTTCCTCTGAACTTTTCGGAGTCCTCTCACACACTTACTTGTTGACACCTATAGTTGTACTCTTTCACCTTTCATCAAAAACAGTTGCAAATTCAAAATTTTTATTTTCCGAGAAAATGACAGAGATAAAATATAAGCAGAGGGGAAAACTTCATAATTATTAAATGAATCAGATAATGACTGATGTTAACGAAAAATATTTCATGACACTTGAAGATAACAAGGTAGACTTTATTCAAGGCACTTCAATGGAATGATTGCGATGGAGTTTTCCAATAGGAGAGAATGAGCACAAGTTTGAATATGGCAGAACAAAGTGAGAGTTTATAGCCAAGAAATAGGATGTAGGTCAGTGGATAGAAAATCACCAATAGGCAGGCTAAGTCTTTGCTAAACCAACCTAAAGGGATTCTTGCTGAAGGCAAACAAGGGTAATCTGATGTCACCTGGAGAATAGTGGTGGATGAGAAACTTTATCAGGTATTGAGAGTGATCAGATATCAAGGGTGGGAGGTTCTAGCTAAACTGATTTGATGAGACATTTGCTGAAAGGTAGATCTTGAAAGGCTTGCCCAGAACTGGGGTCTAGAAGTTAAATCAGAGGAGCCTGATTAAAGGTTGCTGAAAGAGGAAGTCTTTTTTAGTTCCTGTTCTTTTTGTCTACTTTGAATTTTGTAATCTATTTCTTATTGGGTAGGCTTTGATCATAAAGGACCTGTTAGCTGTCTGTTGGAACTTGGTTATAGAGGATATTTTCTGAATGAAGCAAGAAATTAGGTTTAATGAGGGAAATTTCTGTGACAATAAAAGAAATATAATAATTAATATTAGAAACTCAATTATTGGGACCAGCAGATGGCAAATGGTTATACTGTTACTCCCATGTTGATGACTTCAGTTTGAATCCCAGACCTGGTGACTTAAAACTCATACCTGGCACGTGTGTGTGTGTGTGCACAGAACCCTGAAAGGAGAATGGAGAAGAAGGGATTGCAGTGTGGCCATCCTCCCTGGGGAGTTATTTCTCACTTTCTACACTTTCTGCCTCTCTGTCACTCTACATCTCTCTGGCAAGTGCACATGCCCTTTAGCAGAAATCTCTCTTTAAAAAAAAAACAGAAAAGAAAAGAAAAAAGAAACTTATTTTCTTATTCCATAGGCCAGCCACCAAAATGATTTCTGACTTGAGCTAATTTTTTTTGTTTATTTTGTTTTGTTTTTGCTATATGACACATGTGCTTGTCAGAGAGAGACCAATAAAGAAAGAAAGAAATCACCCCTCCTCCCCCCAGGGAGGTGGCCATGGCACAATCCCTTTCCTTCGTCGTCCTCTCAGGATTTTGGGTACACATGCACACATGCCCAGTGTGATTTTCAAGCTGCCAGGTCCAGGACTCAACACTATGGCCCATCAAGTAGGATCCAGCACCTTAACCTCCATGCCATCTGCTGGCCCAGAACTCAAACTATCTTTAAATAGTAGAGTAGGGAGAGCAATAGCAATCTGATTCATTTCTTGGTTTGTGGTTTCCACATTTTGGAGATGATAGTTTTCCATGAGCTTTCCTGGTTGCCCACACCACAGCAGACACAACGGTTCCATGTACATCATCTGTGATGATGATTTCTGTGAATTTCATATCAAATTGTCCAACTTCACCATGTAGGGTTTTGAGAAAAGGAAAATGACTAGGTCAATAGGGTATGAAAAATTTGGAGGTGTTAGTTTGGAAAGTTGTAGTGAGATACTGGAGAGAGCTAACATAATTGAGAACTCATAGGTACACAATAGTTTAAATATATAATTGCTCTATCTAGTCACCCCTTTTGACCAAAGATCAAAGTTCATTCTTTTATATAAGTAAGTGTTTTTCATTAGATTTTTGAAGCAAGAATCATAATTTAACATATAGGTCTTTTTTAAACTTGCTTTACTAGAACTATTTATTTTTTGACGTGGTCTTCTATGTCATGATTTTCCTTTTTTGCTTCCTGAGTAGCTGATACAGGACGCATGTGCCACACCACCCGGCTTTTAAGGTGGTACAGGAGTTAAAACTGGCTCTCCCATGTGATTCAGCCTGCCAAGTGGAAGCATCTTCTAGTGCATGGTATGGCCTGCTGAAACTTTTTATAAATAATCCCACATCAGAATTTAAAAAATAATCTTTAGTAGAGAAAGACAAGTCAAGAACTCACAATCAGACTTTACTTGAGACATCTATATAGATTTGTGTAAATTAGTGTATTCTCGAAAATCCCCGTACTATCCAGATTCTCTGAGCCTACCAGGAAGTGATCTTCCTTACTCATCTACAAGGCTAGAAACCTTGTAAGACTATTATTAGGACAGTTTTCCCAAAAGCACTTTGAAATCATTAGCTACAGAAAGTTGACCTTAGTTCCTTAAATCAAATTCTGAGCACATTGTTATCACTTATGACATTGCAATTAAAGCATTAGAAATATAATCAACATTTCCATAGACTCTTACTGAATTTATGAAAATAATTATATTGCCATAAAAATACATAATTTCCAAATTCTTGAGGGATCAGGCAGAGAGAAAAATGTTTCATTTCTGTTTATAAAAGCATAATCTGATCATTTTACTTAGTATAGATCAATTAAGGGAAAAGGAAAGAGATTCTTTTATTTGGAAATTAGAACACTAAAGAACTAGCAAAGTTTCAAACAAAACTATAATTATCCCTTGTCAGCTCATTCAATCCCATGTAAATACATTTTGTTCTACTTGCTATTGTGTTAGCATTTCATGAACTTAACAGTTTCTCCTCTAGAGTTTCGAAAATCTTTACTCAAATCAGTGGCATTGTCTCAAAGTTAATTAGTTAATGCTATCATGAAAAATTCTGGCCTGCAGTGTTCAGATATGTTCAGAGAAGAAACAGAGTAAAACAGTAGCAATCTGTGAATGACAAAAGGCTTAAAGAGGTCATGGTTGTATTTCTGATGAGATTTCATTATGATATGTCACAATTTACATGAGAATTTGATATTTCTTTAACATAAAACATTTTTCGATAAAATTAAAACTAATTACATTGTACCACGATATATTATTAATGGTAAGGACATTGATAAATTTCTAGAAATTTCATACAACTTTTCAAATACTTACATTATCATACTTACCCATACAGATATAATCCAAGGTAGGTTAATGCATCCCATCTTATATGACAGTGTCTTTTCATGTAATACAACATATCAATGAAGTAAACCAAATTATTTTTAACATTTGTCTTTACAAGGTGAAGAGACAGCTCCTTAGGGATTTTCCAGAGGCTCTCTGGTAAGTCCGAAAATCAGTTTGAAAACAAGATTTTACTTAGGATGTGATTTTGTGAAAGCAATATGGTGAAAAATGTAAAGCAGTTTAGCACTTTACTTTTAAATGTGAGAACTCTTTGTTCTTTTAGATAATCAAGGTCATGATAAAGGTTAAGATAAAGAACAGGGAATTATTATGATAGGATGAAAATTCGGTTTCCTAGGAAGATTACTTAAAAAGTAAAGAAAAACATTTTACAGTCATGAAAGAGCAGAACTATCATTCAGGAAAACTTAGTAATTTTAACCAAAAACCAAACCAAAACAAAACAAATTCCAATTTTTCCTGAGTATAGTATTAGGTTCATTTTTTAAAAACCTTATAAATAGGGTTAGCAGAAGGACATGGTGCTCAAGTGAAGCTGGCTCCAAGTGGAAGATTTCTTTCAGTTTTCCTGTCCATCTGCACATGCTGAGAGTACACACTCTTGATCCTGGCTAACTAGGAAGGCTTCTGTGATTTGTCTCTCCTCAAAATATATCATAAAGTGATATGCAATTCAATGTAATATAAACAAGATTATGATGATAATAAATGAGTTTTAAAAAAAAATCCATGTCTTGAGATTTGGCTATAAAGGTATTAAAAGAAACATAATAACGGGCAGAGATTGAAAGAGTTTGGAGGAAGAGTTTAGAAGCCTGAATTATGCTTGAGACTCAGAAGAACAGCTTAGAAATTAGCTGGATCTTTTTCAACAATTAGTTAAATGCTCATAACCAGAACACTTATAGAAATATTGATGATAAAGGCCATTCAGAAAAGGTGTCAGATGGAAATGAAGAACTTGGGAAACTGAGATAAAGGCCATTCTTGCTGTGAAGTTGGAAAGAATTTGACTATAGAGTATCTGTGCCTTAAAGCTTTGTGGAATGCTGAATCTAAAAGTGATGAAGGTATGTCAAATAAATTTCAAAGCAAGACACAAGGAAGAACCATAAAAGAGCTTTCAGAAGTGTGCAGTAAATTAAAAGGGAAAACCTATGACTTAAGTATAAAACATGCAATGAAAAGAGATGCAGAATGGAAAACACTGAAAAATTTGAAGGCTGGCCATGTGGTAAGAAAAGGAGCCAGGTTCCATATGGCTGACCACAGTTTAAAATCCTGGTCCCAGAAGCTTGAAAAATACATCAGGCATGTGTGCATGCATCCCCCAAATCCCAACAGCATAGAGAATGGAGGAGAAGGAAGAATTGTACCATGACTATACCCCACTGAAAGATGTTGTCTCCTGGGGCTGGCAGGTGGCGTGGTGGTAAAAGTGCTGGACTCCCACATGGCTGACCACAATTCAAGTCCTGGATCTGGTGACTTCCTTCCTCACCTTCCCTCTATCTCTTTCTCTGTCTCTCTCTGATCAAACTGAAAAATAATAATAATAATAGATAAAGTTAAATAAAATAATAGTTTAAAAAATAAAATAAAATAAAATAAAAAGATGTTGTCTGCCTCTCTCTACCACTCCTTGTCTCAATCTCTCTGTCTCTCTCCGAAGAATACATGTGCCCTCTGGCAATTAAAACAAACAAACAAACAAAAAAATGAATGAGCATTTCTAGCATGAAAAACTAAAGGAGTACTACAACACTCACTTACTAAAATGATTAATTAGTAGGGCTCAAAGCAAACCAAGTGACGATCACCTGGATGATAGGAGAAAATCTCCAAGGGCATTTTGGGTATCTTCAAGTATGCCGTCCCTGTCACATTTCCAGAAGCCTAGAATAACAAACGATTTCAGAGGACTGGTCTAGGATGGGTTCCTTGAAGTGAACTGCCTTGGTACTCTATTCCCTGCATCCTAGTAAAGCATTCTACAGCACAAGGTGGAACTCAACCTGCTGTTAAGGTTGTTGCTCCACCTTCTGTTCCAAATTTGCAAGTGGCAGATGCAGGTGGCATGTATGTGAAGGTAGTTGTTCAGCCTCACAGAATTCAAGAGTCATGAAGACATGGAGGTCTCTACCCAGATTTCATAGAGTATCTCAGACAGCCTGGGATCCTAGGCAGAAACTTGTCACAGTGGCAGAGTCCCTGCAGAGATACTCCACAGGGACAAAGACAAATGGCAATGTGGGGTCAGAACTATCACAGAGTTTTCACCAGGTCAAAGCCTAGTGGAGCCACCAGGATAATCATCCCTGGGATACCAGAATTGTGGAATGATCAAGGTATAGTGCCAGCCTGAAAGAAGTTAGGAATGAGACAACTGCAGAGAGTTGTAGCATGAAACAAGTCTAGTAAGGCTAGGAGAGCAAGCATGTCCAGTGCTGTGGGAGCCCAACCCCTGCATCAGACTGTCCAAACGGCAGGACATAATCTGATATATTACTCTGATGATCAAGATTGAATGTCTGCGCTCTTGGCTTTAGATCTTGCTTGGAACCTCCTTTGAGGACTGTTACTTTTTTGTACTTGTACAGTGGACATTTCTACAATGTGTCTGTTTTGACTTTGCATTTTGAGTATGTAATTGGTTTTGATTTTAAAATTTCATAGTTGGAAGGAATTTTTTTGAGTCTGATCAGATTCTGGAATTTGGACTTTCAAGTTGTTGCTAGACTATCTAAAGGTTTTGGGACTATTGGAATGATTTTGTATGAAAAAGTACATGAATTATGGGTCTACGGGCAGAATGCTATGGTATGTGTCCCCAACAAATTGGTATGTTGAGATACAAATATGTTAAGGAGAAACTTAAAACTTTCATAATATAGAAAGTTGTAGCCGGGGTCAGTAGATGGTATAGTAGTTACATTGGTAGACTTCCACATGGCCTACCACAGTTTGAGTCCCAGACCTGGCAGCTTCAAAATCACACCAGGCATGTGTGCATGTGTGCCCAAGGATCAGGAGGAGAATGGAGGACAAGTGATTGTGACATGGCCATACCCTCTGGTGGGTGATTTCTTACTTTCTCACTCACTGTCTCTGTGTGTCTCTCCGGCAAGTGCATGAGTCCTAAGACAAAATCTCATGTAAAAAAAAGAAAGGTGGAGCCCTAAGGTAGGGCACCTCTAATTACTGGAGACTTTATAAGTAGAGAGAATTAGACAAAGAGACAGATGAAAAATGAACATACATAGATACCTGCTCCTGTTTTCTCACAATGACAACCTTCCTGCGTGGACTTAGGACCCCACCAACAGAAAAGCCTTAGATGTGGCTTCTGGATTTTGAACCATCAAGCAATGATGTAAATAAATCCCTATTTCTTAAATTGCCCAGTGTCTAGTGTTTTCTGTTATTATCAATGGAATGGACTAAATGGGGGCTTATGACCCTGTTGAGGGTGCTTGTCTCTCTCTCTATATATTTTATATTGCTATCAATCTCACTCTTGCTGTCTGTCTCACTCTCATAAAAGAAATGAAAGTACATAAAGAAAAAAAATATTTGGCTAACACAAGCACTTATTCATCACCAACACAGTTGGAATAGAATTCTTTAAAGGGATTTTATAAAGAAATTAGTAATATCATTTAGAGATAGAATATAGCACATACACACACATATATACACATATAACATATACAAACATACATGCAGACATATGTAAATACAATTTTTATAGTTTTCATTCTAAAACTTTAACCATGAATTGGAGAATGGAGTAATGTCCTCTCCTTTTTGCTCTACTTTATATTTTAAACAAATTGTATTTTTGACAAGTAATACAGTTAAAAGTTTACATCCCCTGTATAAGAGTTAGAGCTTCTTATCAACACTCCTGGAAGAGATCTCCAGGATTTCTTTTTTTTGGCCTGGAAATGTAATCTTATGGGGTCTGTGATTAAACTTTATGCAAGAGACTGAGGAAACATCAAGTTCCTGTCTGGATGTTTCCAAAGCCTAGCCTCCTCTGGATAAAATGTCCAGTCTATTTTCAATTAGCTTTTGCTTTTCTCTTTTCAACCTCAAGCTGTTTTTCTTTGGGATTCCTGAGACCCTTAAAATTCCTTATGGGATTAGGAGCTCCTAAAGTGTAAGTGATTGAGGGGCTGCAATCTAGCAAGATCTAGCAGGAGAGGGGGATAAAGAAGTGAGAGCACTGAAGTGGCACATTGCATGATTCAAGGAAGCTGAAGGGAAGATTGAAGGTGGTAAGAAAAAGAAGCAGGAGGAGAAGCAATAGGAAGGGAGAGTTCTCAGAAAATCCAGTTTGGGGAAATCTTTGGTTTCTCAAGGAGACTACTGAAATTCCAAATAATCCTCTGCAAAGTAATGACCGAAAAAGGAGTGGACAGAGCTAGCAGGCATAGCAGAGATTCAAGAAGAGGGTTTTAATTAACTGAGAAATTACTCCAGGAGAAACAGATCAAATAGAACAGAGAGGCCTCACAAAGAGCCAGGAAAAGTTTTCCAGTTCAGGGAATTATAGAACAAATTTCCACTTGAAAGAGAGTCAGGAAGAAAGACTCCCATGCCAGCAGGTCCTTTCTAATAGAGGAGTCTAGAACTCTAGCCCAACTTCTTAACTTCTTAGAAATAGCTACCTACCTGTGACTCTAAACTAACTCTTTCTTTCTTTCAATCCCCTCCACCCCCCGCCATAGAAAGCATATGCTCAACAGAGGGGAGAGAAACAGAGGAGAAGTGAGAAATCACCCCCTCCCCCACGGGGGATGACCACACTGCAATCCCTTCTCCTCTATTCTCTCAGGATTTTGGACATGCAAGCACACAAACCGAACCTGATTTTTTCTTTTCTTTTTCTTTAACTTTTTTTTTTTTAATTGGAGAGAGATTTTTGCTATAGGGTGTGTGTGCTCCCCGGAGAGACAGAAAGGAAGAAATCACCCCTCCCCAGAGAAGATGGCCATGGCATAATCCCTTCTCCTCCATTGTCCTCTAGGGATTATGGGCACACACACACACACATATGCCCAGAGAGTGAGTTTCAAGCCACTGGGTCCAGGACTCGAACCGTGGTTGACTACATGGGAGTCTAGCAATGTAATCAATACACATCTGCTGGTCCCTCCCCAGCCTGCTTTTCAAGCCACTGGGTCCAGGACTTGAGCCATAGTCAAATGTGGGAATTCAGCTACCTTAACCACCATGCCACCTTCTGGTCCCTAAACTAACTTTGTAAAACAGAAAAACACAAAACTCTAACCCAATCTTATAAGGCAGCTTGTATATTACCCTAATAATCTTAAGAATAAAAATCTATCCTTACTGTGTGTGCTTCAACAGACTGTCATGTGAAACACCAGCTCAGGAGTTGACATCACCAATAGACCCCCATCAATCAGCCAGAAGTGAAGATAAAGTCTTCAAAGGTGCGCATTTGACATCTTCAGTGAGAGTTCTGTATGTTCAATGATAAATCGTGTCTCCTTCATAGCAACAAATCTATTGAAGAAAAAGTTATCCAGGACAATGATAAAGATAGCAAGGTTGGGGACTAGCTGGTGGCATGGTGGCTAAGGCACTGGACTCCCACCTGGTCAGATGCAGATTGAGTCCCAAACCTTGAAAATTTTGGCTTGAAAATTATGCCAGGCCTACATGAGTGCATGCCCAGAACCCTGACGGGAGAATGGAGGACAAAGGATTGTAGGGTGGTCATTCTCCCTGAGAGTGTTTTCATACTTTCACTTTCTCTGTCTCTCTCTTTGGTAAGCTCACATACCTATGGCAAAAATATTAAAATAAAATAAAATAAATTTAAAAAGATAGCGAAGTTGGCTTTACTGAATGGACTTCAAGGAACTACTGCAATTGGGCTTTGCAAAAGGGAAGAGAGATTGGGCTCAACTCCAAAAATAACAAGAAAAAGTAGAAATTTATAATCAAGGAACAGGGTATGAGTTATTGAGTTAAAAAATCACTAAGAGGTTCTTTCTTTTTCCCCTTGATTCCTCCCTCCCACCCTCCTTCATTTTCCACCCTCCTCCCACACTTTCTAGTATCCACAGTTGCTCTCCATGCCTTTATACTTTTCAAACTTTCAATTTCTGCCATAGAGTGCAAACATTGAATATATGTTGAATAGGGGCATACAATGCCTCTCTTTCATAGTTTGGCTTGCTTTGCTTAGCAGGAAATCTTTCATATTTGTTTACTTTCTATCAAATGCCAGGATCTCATTGCTTTTGTTTTTGTTTTATGACTGAATAGTGTTCTGTTGTATATATGGGCCACTTTTCAATCCATTCATCTGTTTGTGGACATTTGGGTTATTCTCATGTCTTAGCAATTGTGAATAATGCTGCAATAAACATGGATGTGCAAGTGTTTTTCTGACTGAGTGCATTCCAGTTTACCCAATAGGAATTGCTGAATCATCTGGGTAATTCTATTTGTAGGTCTTTGAGGAATCTCTATATTGTTCTCCACACTGGCTATCCTAATTTACATTCCCACCAACAGTGTAGGAGAGTTCCCTTTTCTCCACAGCCTCGCCAGCACTTATCATTCTTTTTTTTTTTTAATCTTAGCCATTCTTACGAGGGTTTGGTGGTATTTCATTGTAGTTTTAATTTGCATCTATCCTATGATAAATGATTTTGAGCATTTTTTAATAACTTTTTTGGCTGTTTGAATGTCTTCCTTAGAGTGTTGTCTGTTCAGCTCATTTGCCCATCTTTTTATTGGGTTGATAATTTTTAGGGGGGGCTAAGTTGTTAGAATTATCTGTATATTCTGGTTATCAGTCCCTTATCTGAGGAAAAAGAAAGAAGCAAAACATCTAAGGGACACAAAAATGGAAATTTATCTACTGCTGATAATATGTATAGCAATATCTTTGAACCAATATACAGTGTATTCAGGATGAGAAAATTCATTTGATATGTTGTAGTGATACAAGTGATTGAATGTAATTAAAATAAAAATTAAAAATATGTATTTTTTGTATGAAGACCTGGAATAACCTCTAAGATATGATAGAATTTGCAGAATTCAACATATTATCATTTGTGTGTGTGTGTGTCTGTCTGTGTGTGTGTGTGTGTGTGTGTGTAGAGTTTCTGTTTGTTTGTTTGTTTGTTTTTGAACATTTAACAAGATGTTTATACTACAAAGGCATGCTAATAGAAATTGTGTTCCTTTTGCTCAGGCCAGGTGGCATTTCTAGGGTGGTCATGTGTTTGTTCTAAGGTGTGACAGTTGGAGCCATTCCCTACTGTGAATGAAAATAAAGATCAAGTCCCTTGCCCTGAAAGTTTCAGTGCTGGAGTCCATTGTTACTTCAGATGCTTGAATTAGCCCTCTCACTCCCTCCTGAGGGTGGCCCTATTACACACACGTCTGACAGGTGTGTTATGCACATGTCTGACAGGTGTGTGATGCACACATCTGACAAGTGTGTTATTTTCCTTGTACTGTTTAATTGCTAATTAGCTGTTTTGAACAGAAGCATACAGAACTCTAAAAACAAAATTTCAAAAGCCCATTTCACTTTCTAATAGGTAAAACTATACATTCACTTTCTAGTGTATAAAACAATTAAGTTTGTAAAGTAAGAAAATGTAGATAGCCTGTAAAAATAGACAAACTTTAAGGGGCTGATTAAGCAAAGTTATTAAATAGATCTAAATGAGTGATTTTATGAGTGATTAAGAAAGAAAGAAAGAAAAAGAAAGAAAGAAAAAGAAAGAAAGAAAGAAAGAAGAAAGAAAGAAAGAAAAAGAAAGAAAGAAAGAAAGAAAGAAAGAAAGAAAGAAAGAAAGAAAGAAAGAAAGAAAGAAAGAAGAAAAAAGGTTTTTAGTCATGGTAAAATCAATTGCCTAGACTTTAAGATGTGAAGAAATGGCGACAGCAACTTCTGTTCCTCATTGAGCCTGTGACATAGACCCGCAGACACACGTCTTACTGTTAAATGTCTTGAAAGTAGCAGTTCTCAATGAACAGAAATCTTTCCTGTGAACATGACAGTACAGGTGGGTCATTGAGGAAAGTCTCACAACTCACAGGGTGAACCACAGTTTCTTTGGGGACACTCACTAGAATTACCTCTAGATACTGGAAACAAAAGTTAAAGGATCAGAAGCACATAAGACAAAGTCATATTTTTCCCTCTACCATTGTACTATTTAAAATTTACTCCATCCATAATTTACTAAGCCAAAAGGAGCAACAACAAACACTGAATCAAAATAACTCTTCTGGGGCCAGCAGGTGGTATGGTGGTTAAAGGTGCTGGACTCCCACATGGCCAACCATGATTCAAATCCTTGACTGGTGGCTTGCAATCTCACTTTCTCTCTCTCTGTATGTCTGATAATACTGGAAAATATTAATAATAATAAAAATTAAATAAAATAATTCTTAAAAAAATAACTCTTCTGTCATTGAATCCAGGTAGTGTGGTTGTTAAAGCGGCTGGATCCCACTTGGTCAACCCTATGATTTGAGTCCTGGACCTGGCAGCTTGAGAAACACGCCAGGTGCATGTATGTGCATACTTAAAATCCCAACAGAAGACTGGAGAAGAGATTGTGCCCTGACCATTCCTCCTAGAAGGTGCTTACTCACTTTCCCTTTCTCTCCATCTGTCTCACCCCAGAGAGTGCATGCAACCTGTAGCATATGTTTTTAAAATTCCTTTCTCCATTTAATATCTGCACAATCCATAATAGTACCTGTCTATTCCTAATATCAGTGATTCTGTCTTATCATTTTTCTTTATCATTCTAGTGAGAGATATTTTTTTGATTTGTTCAAAGGACAAGCATTTGGTTTTATTTTTCATTATTCTTTTATTTTCATTTTTATCTTTATTTTTTCTATTTTTCTTTTTTTTTGCCTAATTTGATTATTTTGTGGCGTCTTTAAGACTAATTTATTCAGATTGGGGCTGAAGCATTTCTCCCAAGGCTTTATCCTCCTGACCCCAGTTCTAGCCAAAATAAGCCAATCACCAGCCATCTATATTGGAGTTCTGAGTGACCCTTTCCAAGGATTAGGACAACTGAAGATCTTTTGCCCAAAATTCACCTTCCTGTTCCCCCAGATCTAGCCAGCACAGACCAATCACCTGCCATCTATATTTGAGTTCTGAGTGACTATTTTCAGAGATTAGGACAACTGAAGTTCTTCTGCCCAGACTTCACCCTTCTGCCCCCCAGATCTAGCCAGGTTTTCATTTTTTTGCTTTAATTTTTTTTCTTTTTTTATATTTTTTAATTTTTTCTCTTTTTTGTTTGTTTCATTTCTCTTTTTCTTTTTCTAATACCTCACTTTTATGCTAATGAATGCACACTGGATTTCCCAACAGGTATAGGTGCACAGTAGTCAAATATCTGAATACTTTCACGGTCAGGTTAATCTTCAATACCTAAGGAATATGCTGCACAAAGGGATAAAGATGGTACTGCTTAGAGATTGCAGATTACCTCCTCCTGGATGTTTCTGAATGCTCAGGTTTAACTCCAAAAACCAGGAAAAATATGTATAATCCATTAAATGACCAGAAACCACTACAGAAGCACAAGAAATATGAGAAACCAAATAGATATCTCTCCCCCAAGGGAAAAGAATAACTCATCCTCTACAGAGAATACAAGGGAACTCATGGAAATGTCAGATAAAGAATTTTAAATATTCAGGAACCAGCAGTTAGCATAATGGCTATGTCGCTGGACTCCCACGCAGTCGACCGCGGTTCGCGTCTTGGACCCCGTGGCTTAAAACTCACGCCGGGCGCGTGTGCATGCATGCCCAAGATCCCGAGAGAAGAATGGAGGAGAAGGGATTGCAGCGTGACCATCCCCCCTGGGGGGTGATTTCTTGCTTTCTGTCTCTAATGTCTCTGTCTGTCGATAGCGCAGGCGCCCTATAGCGAAAATCTCTCCAAAAAAAAAAAAAAAGAATTTTAAATATTCAGAGTGACAAAGCTAACAGAGATGTAAGAAAAGAGAGCCAACAAACTCCAGGATATACAGAAGAAAAGAGATGAGTTCAGGAGGTGAGGAAGTTCTTGCATGATCTGAGAAAGGAAATACACACCATAAAAAAGAATCAGACAGAATTGTTAGAGATGAAGGTTGTAATACAGGCCATCAAAACCTCTCTTGAAAGTATTAAAAGCAGATTAGATCATACAGAAGATCAGATCTCAGATATAGAAGATAGTATCTCTGACCTAGAAAAATTCACCAAAAAGATTGAGAAAATAACCCCCAAATGAATAATATATAAATAATGATACATACCATTAAATGCCCAAATACCCAGATAATTAATATCTTTGAAGGTGAAGAAACTAATAAGGGCATTGATAATCTATTCCATGAAATCCCGGGAAAAAACTTTCTAAACGTAGAGAAGCACTCAAATATCCAGATCCAAGAAATACAAAGGGGCCCATATAGAATCAACTCAGGAAGATCTGTAAGGCACATCAGTGCCAGATTGACCAAAACCACAGACAGAGACAAGACTAAAATTGCAAGAGAGAAACATCAAGTTACTTTCAAAGGATATTCCATCAGGCTAACATACTTACATCATTTCAGTTCCTTTCAGTTTATTGTAACTTGTAACACAAAATACAGTCTTAGTGATTATTCAGTATGTATTTGAAAATAATGTGTATTTTATTGTTGAGTGTCATGCTCCATAAATTAATTAATTTGATAATGGTGACATCTTCTACACTAATTTTATATACCTGTTTTACTGAGATATGAATATTGAATTGTATAGATATAATTTTGTATCCATATATTTCTACTTTCACTTATATTTGTTGTTGCTTTATATATTTTAAAAGTATTTTATTTGATGCATGCATATATAAGATAACCAAGCTTCTTTTGACAAATCGATATCTTTATCAGTTATTACATCTTTATTAATACTTTGGATTATGTAAATATATGCATTCTAGCTTTCTTTTAACTAATGTTCCAATTGCTTTTTTATTAGTATTATTCATACATTAAATCACTATATATCATTTAGATTGTGAAGAGACTTTACCCAACATGATATACAGCTCAGTCCAGCCCAGTTGAGACCACCATACACATCCTAATCAACAGATAATAAACCATATCTGTGTCCCACAAGTGTCTTTCCTCTCCATTTCCTCCCCCTCCCCAAATTCCCTATGCTCTTCCCCTCCCACACTCGCTTTCCACTTTGTCTTTAGTGTCCATTATGTTCTCCAGTCTTTCAGTCTCCACCATGGAGTGCCTACTGCTTTTTTTTAAAAAAAAAAATGCATCTTATGTCTTTATATTTAAAGTGAGGTTCCTGGAGAGAGCTGTTATCAGTTATCTATTGTTTTCTTTTCTTTTTTTTTTTTTTTTTTGAGAGGTTTTTTGCTATACAGCACGTGTGCTTGCCAGACAGACAGAAAGAGACAGAGAGACAGAAAGCGAAAAATCACCCCCCGGGGGGATGGTCACGCTGCAATCCCTTCTCCTCCATTCTCCTCTCGGGATCTTGGGCACGCACGCACACGCGTCCAGCATGAGTTTTAAGCCACTGGGTCTGGGACGCGAACCACGGTCGACTACGTGGGAGTCCAGCGACATAACCATTACGCTAACTGCTGGTTCCCTCTATTGTTTTCTAACAAACCACTCTGAAAATTAGTAGTTTTAATGTATTATCTCACATTTCCTGTGGGGCACGAATTAGGAAAATAATTTGGCTAGATTTTTTTATGCGTAATTTGTATTATTTTTATTGTTATATTTTCAGTAGTTAATCTTTTCTCCTGCTCTTCCTTATGTGCAATTTGTTAATGCCTGTGAGTATATTTGTATTTCAGGTATTGTATATTTCTTCTCTAGGAATTCTACTTTTTTAATACACTTAATTTCTCTCATTATTTTCATGGGACATATTTATGATATTTTTAATAATTTCTTCTAACTCTTACCATCTCTATCATTTAAAACAAATTTTATTTTTATTGGTTTTTGTCTTAGTTATGGGCCAATTGTCCTTTATATGACCTGATATTCTTTCTTTTTTTTTTTTTTTTTCTGTATTTTTTTAGGTTTTGCCTTAAGGTGTATGAGCAAACCAGAGAGAGACAGAGATAGTGACAGAGAGGGAAAGTGAGAAATCATCATACCCCAGGGGAATAGCCATTTTACAATATTTTCTCCTTCACTTCCTCTTGGAATTTCGGGCATGTATGTACAAGTGCCTGGCATGATTTTCAAGCCACCGGGTTTGGGACTTGACTTCTCTGAGCCATGCAGGAGTCCAGTGCCCCAACCACTATGACACTTGCTGGCCCTGATATGCTAATAATTTTTATTGGATGCTAGATATTGTGAATTTTGTGTTCTTCAGTTTTAGGTATTTTTACAGGTCTTCAAAAAGTATTGAGCCAATATACAGTGTATTCAGGATGGGCAAATTCATTTGGTATGCTGTAAGGATGCACAGCAATTGAATGTATTAAAAAAAAAAAAGTGTTGTATTCAGACCAGCTCTGTACCTGGTGGTTGAGCAACCAGATTCCACATGGCGTTCTTCAGTTTTAGGTATTTTTACAGGTCTTCAAAAAGTATTGAGCCAATATACAGTGTATTCAGGATGGGCAAATTCATTTGGTATGCTGTAAGGATGCACAGCAATTGAATGTATTAAAAAAAAAAAAAGTGTTGTATTCAGACCAGCTCTGTACCTGGTGGTTGAGCAACCAGATTCCACATGGCAACTGTGGTTCAAGTCAGAGACCACGGGCTTGAGAAATTTGCTGGGAGCCTGTGTGTGTGTGCCCAAAATCTTGAAAGGAGGAAAGATAGAGGAGAGTGGGCTGTGGTTTGACAATTCCTCATGGGGAGTACTGTCTCTTCTCCCTCCCCCTCTCTCTCAGGTGAGCACACACACACCCTAGGAAAACAAATGAACAAAAAGTGTCATACATTATGTTGGCATGGAGTTAAGTTATGTGGGGTCACTGATCCTACTGATGCTTGCTTTTAACCTTTAGTTAACCATTGTCTGTGCCACAGTTACACTGGGCATGTACAGTGTAGAGATTTATTTGTCATCCCTATTGTGCTGAAATGATTTTGGAGGACTAGATATTAGATTTTAAGTGGCTACTATTATTCTCTAGGGACTTCTGCATTACTTAATAATTATTTATTATTTTGTCCTGGTGATGGAACAACTGTCCTTTATATTCCTAATCATTTTTTTTTTGTGGGGGGGAGAGAAGTTTTTGCTATAGGGCATGTGCACTTGCCAGAAAGACAGAGAGAGACAGAAAACAAGAAATCACCCCCCGGGTAATGGCCACGCCGCAATCCCTTCTCCTCCATTCTCCTCTCAGGTTCTTAGGCACACATGCACATGCGCACAGAGTGAGTTTAAGCCACCAGGACTGGGACTCAAACCATGGTCAACTACATGGGAGTCCAGCGACATAGCCATTACTCCAACTGCTGGTCTCTATATACCTGATAATTTTTATGTTTTTATTTTAGGTTTTGCTATAGAGTGTGTGGACTAACCGGAGAAAGGGACAGAGACATAATTTATTTACTGCATTATTTATTCATATGTTTATTTTGCTATTAATAATATACTGGCTTTGGGCCAGTTGGTGGCATGATTGTTATGGTGGTTGGATTCCACATGGCCATTGTGCAAATCAAGTTCTGCACCTGCAGCCCCTAGGTACATGTAAGTGCATACCTAAAATTCTGAGAGGAAAATGAAGTAGAAGGGATTGCAGTTGGGCATCTTCCATGGGGGGTGCTTTTTCACTTTTCCTCTTGCCTTCTCTAGTGAGTACACATGTAACTAAACAACACTAATAGCAATAACAACAATAATAATATAGTGGCTTTATTTTCATTATATTAACAAATTACACTTGTATATATTTATGGAGTACAAAGTGGTCTTATTGTGTGTGTGTGTGTGTGTGTGTGTGTGTGTGTGTGTGTATGCTAGAAGGTGTTTATGCTTGCCTGAAAGAGAGGGAGAAGAAAAAGCACCCCCCATGGACCATGGTCATACTGTAATCTCTTCTCCATCTCTCCCTCCTTTCAGGATTTTGGACATGTATGCACATATGCCTGATGTGTTTCTCAAGTTGCTGAGTTCAAGACTGGAACTGTGAGGTGGGCCATGTGGGATCCAGCCCTCTTAACCAGCAGGACATGGAGCTGACCTGATCTTATCATTTTTAAACACAATGTGGAAAAGTTAAATAAAGTTAATATATTCCTCACCTCAAGTATTTAACTTTTGTTGTAATGACAACATTTGAAATTTATTCTCGTAGCAGGAGTGAGTATAGCTAATAATCGAGTTCTGTACATTATAATGTCATTAAAAACATACATTTCTTTTTTTGTCAACTCTTTAGAACTATATCCCAAAGTATCATTGATATTGTTTTGTACTATTTTGTGTTATTGCAGACAACCTGTAGTTTTATTTTCAAGTAAAATTTTTTTTACCATTTTTCATACTATTTGAAATATCATGTATCTGCCAACATCCCAGATTATATGTTTATGTGTATGTATGTGTGTGAATCTCTTGCATTTATTCACAACTTTTATAGGAGACTAGCCATGAAAATAACCCATAAAAATATGGTCAAAGGAAATAGACAATACTACTGCAGCATTTCTTTTTCAAAATTCTTCTATTCTTTATTTTTCTCCTTATTTCCATTATTCATTACTATAATCTACCTACAAGGAACCATGAATTAATTCTTACATTAATTCACTGAAGAGATATTATTTTCCAGCTATGTCTTGGACATAGTTCCAAAGATTTGGAGTGCTGGACTTTTTTTTTTTTTTATTTCTTTGACATTTCCTGCACATAAATACTTCATTTAAAAGATGAACCCAGAAAACTCATTACACTAGTCTAGATTACCATTGTACTGATTTAAGATCAACTACAATGTCTCCATTAGTTTGTTAATTATTCCAGGTATGTTCATACAAGTTTTTTACATGCTTAATAATCTGGGACCAGCAGATGGCATAACGGTTATGTTGGTGGACTTCCACATAGTGGGCTGCAGTTTGAGTCCCAGAGCCATTGGGCTTAGAACTCATACTGGGCACATGTGTGTGTGCCCAAAATCCTGAGAGAGAAATGAAGAAGGGATTGGCACATGGCCATCCCCCCAGGGGTGTGATTTCTCACTTTCTGTCTCTCTGTCTCTGTCTTTCAGGCAAGCATACATGCTATGTAGCAGAAATCTCTCAAAAAAAAAAAAAAGTCAACAATTTAAATAAATGTGTGATTTGAAGATGTCACTATATATATTATGAAGAAATATTTGCATTCAAAATGAACCATTAGTAATTCTGTGCCTTTTTTCACAGGAGAGGATGATTAAAATTCATCAAATCAAATATATTTTTGAGATACTGGATAAAATGAGATGCCTGCGAAAGCGTTCTACAGTGTCATTCTTGGGAGTTCTTGTCATTTTCCTTCTATTTATGAACTTGTACATTGAAGATAGCTATGTTCTGGTAAGTCTTAGAGGTTATTTGCTGTTCAAAATTGTAACTTAACTGCAATCCCAGGCTATTGAGCTAACCTTAGTTTGAGTAAAATTATAACATGTACATTTTCTATCTATTTTTTGTATATGTTATACATTATAAATATATGACTCATTTTCATTTATGTTCTACTATTTTAATGTCATATATAGATTATACACACACACACACACACACACACACACACATATATATATATATAGAGAGAGAGAGAGAGAGGCTCAAATATTGACATCTAATTGAAATTAAATTAGTTAGCAACACTATGCTAAATAAATACAGAAAACCATTAAGGTCTTTGGGCTTTAAATATATAGAATAAACAAAGCATTGCTCCTTATTTCTTGTAATTTTCTGTATTATATTCAACATTTTCAAAATTCTATTGTCTTTTTAACAATGTGATTTATTTTAATTAATTACTTTTGTCATTCAATCACTGTGTGTCATTATAGCATACCAAATGAATCTTACCATCATAAGTACACTGTATATGGGTTCAGTCAAAGCCAACACCATATGCACTATAATCAACAGATTTCTTTCCACCTTGAGTCCCTTTAATGTTTTACTTCCCTGTTCTCCTTAATTCTCTCCCTCTTACCCTCTCCCTTTTTTTACTCTCCTTCTTCACTGTCTCCAGTATCACCATGGTTCTCCATGCTTTTATTCCTTCCAGTCCTTGAGTTTCTGTCATAGAGTGCCAACATTTGTTATATATTGAGTGGGGACATACAATGCCTCTCTTTCATAGTCTGGCTTGCTTCACTTAGCAATAAATCTCCCAAATTCATGCACTTTCTATCAAATGTGAGGGTCTCATTTTTTATGGCTGAGTAACTTTCTGGAGTATATATGTACCACACTTTTTCAATCCACTCATCTGTTTGTTGCTAAGACATGGTATCAATCCAAATAACAATGCTATTTAATTGTACTGTCTTGTTTAAGCAATATTTTATGATAAGTGATACCTCATTCAAATTTAGAATAAATGCAAATGACTACCATGTTACAGATATATATTTACTGAAAGGATCTCAAGAGTTAAAGATAGGGACTGAACAGTGGTACAATGGTAGCACAGCATTCTTTGGGACTAACTTACATGAGAAGGTTTAGGTTCCCATCCCTTCCCACCCAGATTCCTTCTGTGAACACGACAGCTGCATGCACGTCTGTGACTCAGTGTTGGCTGAGATTGGAGGTGACTTGCAGAATGAATACCCTGTTGGGATTGCCTATCTCTCTTTCC